TGCTCCATCTCCACCATCTCACATGTGAGGGCCCACCCAAATGTCTTTTTTCTCTTCTTCTTGTACACTTAAGGCCCGTTTGGTAGCGTTTTCAGAGAATGTTTTCTTAGAATATTTTCAAAGAATGAAAACAAGAATTGAAAATGTGTTTGGTAGATTAATTAGAAAACAAAAACAGTGAAAACGTGTCTAGTAGTACAATTTGAGAATAATAATATATGAGTTATTTTTCAAGTGTATTTTTGCAAATTTATGTTCTAAAAATATATTTTAAAAAATGTATAATTTAACAAATAAAAAATTATATTATTTTTTAAAAGTTAAAACTATCTTCATCTCTTTTATTTTTTGTTTTTTTCTTCTATTTTTTCTATTTTTTCAACCGACACCGTCCCTTTCTTTTTCTTTTTTCTCCTCCTCCTTTCTTTCTTCCTCTTCTCTCCTTTCTCTTTTCTTCTTCCTTCCCATCCAAGGCCTGATACTCTCTCTCTCTCTCTCTCTCCCTTGTAGTTTGCTGAGTGGGTGGTGGTATTGATGGTAGGGTCAATTGGGTTCAGCTGGGTGGTGGTGCAATTAGCAGTTGGCTAGTCTGTTGTGGTGATTGTGGTTCGATTGGCCTATAGCGGCTATTGGGTAGTGGACGTTAGGTCGAGAAAGGGGGAGAGAAGAGAAGGGTGAGTGAGGGGGAGAGAAGATTTATGTTTTTTGGTCTGATGGGGAGAGAAGATTGAGCAAGAGATTGACGAGAATGAGCAGCAACAACTGTTCTTTTTCAACCTCCCCTATTTTGAGCATTACCTATGAGAATGAAACATCTTTTTTTGTTTTTGTTTTGTTTTCTGCAAGTATACGTGAACTTATTTTCATTTTATGAAAACATTCTCAGTGTTTTATGTTTTTGGCCCCTAAACCCTTACTTTTTAATAGAAGTGTTTAACAAGTTATAAACAAATTGGAAAAATGTCATAAAACGCTATGCCGAAATTTAAATAGAAACTCTCTAATTAAAAAAGTTGGCTTAAAAGTTAGCCCTAATTATTTTTGAATATTGGGTTCGTGCTTGGATGCATCATGGAGCAACCCAACCCAATATGAAAATTGTCAGAAAAATGATTAAAAAATCTTTTACACAAGACAAAATGTTAAAATGGTCTAGCACCTCCAAAATTGAACAAACCTGTCCAGTTACTGTCCGACAATGACACGAGACTTGCTCAATGTCACTCTCAGTGAGTGACATAAGAGTTATTTCATGTAGGACAGTGATTGGACTAGTTTGTCCAATTTTGGAGGTGCTAGACCATTTTGTCTTCGTGCCCTCCTATTTGTCCTCAGAGCACTTCCAGCGGGGGTCTTTTGCCAGGGAAAAAGGTAGCCTAGTCTTGGAATAATACCCATAGCAACAAAGGCCAGCCTGGGCAAGAATGGCCCCTTGTTACTCGAGTCAGTGCAAAGGCAAGAATTCCCTAAGTTGCTGACTGTGGGTGCTGACGTCAACGACCAATTTAAATACCAAAAAATTCATAATTTTTTTTCTGTAAATACCTAACCATGTTCTTCACTTCCCACACCAAAACTCCATACAAATTCCTCTCCTCATATCTCATGTGAATAGTGTTTGGGCCTAATTTGACACACTTAGCCCAACATTGGAAGCCTATAAATAACAAAGAAAACTTCAGGGTCCGAGCAGTTTAAAATTTGCATCTAAATTAAAATCAAAAACCAAGGAAGCCCAGCCCAGAACCTATCTCACCACGAGGATGACTTGGGCTTCGAAGAAATCCAAATTGGGTTTTGGCATATTTAAAGAAAAGAAAGATGAGCTCAGGAAAGAAATAGACCCACGTGACCTCCTGACTTGAGAAAAGTCAACAATTTCAACTGAGATTGATAAAGAGTTAATAGGGGCAGGTATAAAAAAGACATCTCTGAAATCTTTGCCACCAGAAGATCAAAGTCCCTTTTGTATATTTAGAAAAATTTCTGCTCCAAAGAAGGCATCATTTTCAAGAGATAAACAGACAATGTTTTGGGAGATAAGTAGGATACAGGGAGTTGTTCATCTGGAAAATCAAACTAACCATCACAGTTTGAAATCTTACAAAGCGGTTGAAATTAAAGAAGGGCTAGGTTTCTTTTTTCAAGAAATATAGGGAAGTGACTGCCTTAGGAACTGACTATGGAAGACTTGTTTGCCAAAATTGATAAAACCCATTTGTCCATGCATTTTAAAATAAAAGATATATTTCAGAAAATCTGCCGCCCATTTTTAAAGGATTAGAAATCCTACTCCAACATTTCCTATAAATATAAGAGAGGGTGAATAGAGCAAAGGACAATCAGTCAAACAACCAAAAAATCAACCAAAGACAAAAACTCAAAATGATCACTTAATCTTTGAGAACCTTCAAACAAACTGAAACCACCAAAAGCTCATTCGAGCCACTGAAGAAGCCAGCTATAAATTAGAACTTCTAGTTCATACTTAAGAGAAATAAGTCATTCAAAACGAGATTTCTCTCGTTACAAATTTGGTTCAGCAAAAGCCAAAACAAGCAGAGTTTGAGTTTTCACAACTATGAAAACCTCAACAAATTTATGGAGAGCCCTGATCAGATAGAACAGGCACCACAATGCAGTTCCAACTCAGTAATCCTCAAGTCCAGCCACTTCTGCTCCCTTTTAAACTGAAAAGGCCGCAATTCTGTCTGTTCAAAAAGCCTTCTAGGGCTTGAAATAGATTAAAGTTCTGTCAAACTCGAACGTTGGTATCGATTTACAGCTGAAGCTTAGCGGTTGAAGTTGGGAATAGTCCAATTCAGCACAGGCATACCCAGTCTAGCTCGGATCAAAAGCTTATGTCCAGGAAAGGAAATGGAAGTCTTTTTTTTTTCTTTTTTGTTTTTTTTTGATTTTTTACTTTAGAGTTTTGTTTAAAAGTCAGTTCCGCCTGAAAACAGTTCATTTTCTTACTATTTATTCTGGCCAGAACTACCAACATTATACTGTGTAAAATTATGAAGTCCTCACCAGTCTGAGGCAGGAAAAGAACTTACTTGGGAGATATTCATCACCCAAATTCACAGTTGCTTGTTTAGAAATCAGTAACTTGGGGCGAAAGTTATCTATTTTTAAGAAGTCTGCTAGGATTTTTATTACTAGTAGTGGCACGCTTGCACACTAAAGAAAGTTGACTTCTTGACCAGTCAATGGTTTCCAAGGAAATGGGGAACTTTACCCTTCCATCATAGGAGCAAACACAAAACGGGTAAACAAATAGTGTTTACCTTTACTTACCATGACAATGAGTGGGAAAGCAAAATTAAAAAGGCTAAGAGCATCCACAACGGGAGGGTGTATAAGGGTGTGTATGTTAAATGTACACCCCTTGTCACCGGAATCATCTTCAATGGGGAGATATAAAGGATTGTAAACATACATCACCACCATGGAGATGTAAAATAAAATGCACATTTGCATATATTTTTACATATTTTGCAGGCGGGACCTACCCTAGAAAAGAGAGGGAAAATGAAGAAAAGGAGATGTAAAAATGGCTTTACATCGTTTCCCATTGGAGCAAAAAACGTATTTACACCCTCCGGAGGTGTAAAGGGGATGTAAAAGTGTTTGCACTCCTATAATAATGGGTACAATTGAATTAGTTCAAATACTCCCTCATAACCTCCTCTAGCCCGAATATATGAATTTTTTAATACCTAATATCCTCAAATTATATATATTTACCTAATATGCATCAATTATATATGGGGGCGGATCCGTGGCACTACGTTTTTGACACAATTTTTGGGCCATTAGATTACTCCACTTTCAATGGTTGAGATTAAATATTACATGGTAAGTAGTTTTAATTTTTTAAAATAGACAATCATTAATTTTATTTTCTCTCTCATAAAAATAAAAGAAATTTTTTATCTCTCCAGTCTTTTTGCTGGAAGACACAATCTCTCTTGCCTCTTTCATCTCAAATATTTATTAAGGTCTAATAAATAAAGAATCTCACCAAAAACTAAATTCTCAAACCACAATCCCACATTCTCTCTCTCTCTCACACAATTTTTGCCGTCTTCATCGGGAAGAAATCTTTGCTCCAGGTTGATATTTTAATTTTCGATTTTCTTCATCAGATTTGGTTTATTTTTATTTTATTTTTTGTTGGAATTAAACTAGGACCTCTAGATTAGGAATTTAAAGAATTAATAGTTTCCAAGGGGATTACGTGTATTTCTTAGGTATCTATGAGTAAGCTATTCATTTCAATTTGTTTCAAATTGTTGGTAGGATTTCTTATTTTGAGGATTTGATTTAGAGATTTTAATCTTCTCATATATGAAAAATTTGACTATTACTGTTTTTTTTTCTTCGATTAATAGGGAGAGAATACAAAGAGAACATTTGATGCCACACCACTTTCTTCAACGTCCTCCCTCTTTGAGGTTGGTTTTTGAAAAAGATGGATTACCTGTGGATTGATATATGGAATTACAGTTTATGAATTGTGATGTTTCTTCAAATGGCATCAACACCCTCGGTTGTACTATGCACATATATATATATATATATATATAGAGAGAGAGAGAGAGAGAGAGAGAGAGAGAGAGGCGTGGGAATGTGGGATTGTAGTTTGGGTATTTAGTTTTGGTGAGATTCTTTATTTATTAGACCTTAATAAATATTTGAGATTAAAGAGGCAAAAGAGATTACGTCTTCCAGCAAAAAGGTTGGAGAGAGAAAAATTTTCTTTTATTTTTATGAGAGAGAAAATAAAATTAATGATTGTCTATTTTAAAAAAATTAAAACTACTTGCCATGTAATATTTAATCTCAACCATTGAAAGTGGAATAATCTAATGGCCCAAAATTATGTCAAAAACATAGTGTCATGGATCCGCCCCCATTATATATATATATATATATATATATATATTCTATGTGTTGAGGCTCAAAAATCCAAGGGGCTAAGCAATGGGGTGTTCATGTTGGACATGCCGGAAGAACAATGCCAGAAAGCCTCGTCCGGACAGCAGGAAACGTCTGCTGTGACATTTCACACCCTTACAGAAGCTGAGGCGACTGTAATGGAGCGATATCTGGGCTCGAAGCAAGGACCCACAGCTTCACAGGCCCTCCAGAGGAATCCTAGAGTTAAGTCACTCTTTGACCAACTTGGTTTCGGGCCTCAAGCGAGGGAAGCTGCTATAGCCCTTATGAATATTTCTGCAGGAGCCAACCATTGCTTCACTGCTCAACCTCAAAGGTCATTCTTGGAAAATGACAATGCTATCATTTTCACAGACGGGGACATGGAAGTTCCATACCCGGATCATAGGAGGCCGCTTTACCTGGAGGGACAAATCAATGATGTGTTCATACGGAGGGCTCTAGTAGACACAGGTTCTTCTGTTAACATCTTGCCTCTGTCTGTACTTACAGCAGCTGGTATTCCACTATCCAAGATCGTGCAGTCCCAAACGAGCATTAGCGGTTTTGGGAATCAAAGTGAGGTTATGGTTGGATATATGCAAGTAAATTTGAAGGTAGGGCCCATCCGGTCACTTACCAAGTTCTATGTGGTGGATGTAGATGTGGCTTATCATGCTTTGTTGGGAAGGCCATGGCTCAACAAACATAAACTTGTGGTCTCTACATACCATCAATGTGTAAAAGGAAGAATTGGGCTAAGACCACTCCGTATACCAGGGAATCAAGCACTGTTCAATCAAAGCGAAGCTCACTACTCCGAGGCAGAATTCTACACTAAGTGCACAGGCCCCGGAAGCAACCCATCCAAGAATTCTGGGACTTACCTGCCATCGTGGACCGAGATTCGTGATCTGAGCAACGAGGAGCTCATAACCATCGTCGATCGAGAAAGAAAAAGGCACTCGGAGGCCAACAACCATGCCTACGAGCATCCTCAATGCTCAAAGGTTACGCTGCCAGATGGGCGCACTGTATATCGCTTATGACGGGATTGGGGGCTTGACCGTATCCTACGGGAAAGGCCCGAGTATGGTGGAGAAGCTATGCAAGCAGACAAGAGTCTAGATGGCAAGGCACCTTTGCCTTGTCCTTTCCAAGAACCAATGATAGCACCCAAGCACATGCAAGATGGCTCAACGGTAGTAGCTGAGCGGTTGGAAACAGTTAATTTAAGTAATGACCCCTCTGCCCCAAGACCCATCTCTGTCAGTGTTCATTTAACAGGGGAAGAAAGGGAAGCTTTGGTGTCGTTATTGAAGGAATTTCGAGATGTGTTTGCTTGGAGTTATGAAGAGATGCCCGGCCTTAATCCAAACTTGGTAAGTCATACGCTGAATATTGAGCTCGGTGCAAGACCTGTTGTACAAACACGAAGGAATTTTCATCCAGAAATTGAGAAACAAATCAAGGTGGAAGTCGAAAAGCTGCTAGCCGCTAGATTCATCAAGCCAATCAAACACCCGACATGGCTAGCAAATATCGTACCCGTGAAGAAGAAAACTAGGGTAATCAGAATATGCACAGACTATCGTGATCTCAATCGAGCCTGCCCAAAAGATGAATTCCCGCTGCCCAACATGGATATCTTGATTGATTCAACCTCGGGTCAAGGCATGCTATCCTTCATGGACGGATTTAGTGGCTATAATCAAATCAAGATGTCTCCCAAGGATGCCGAGAAAACAGCCTTTCGAACACCTTATGGAAATTTCTACTACACGGTCATGCCATTTGGTCTCAAAAATGTCGGTGCTACCTACCAACGGGCCATGACGGCAGTGTTTCATGATATGATGGGGAAAGAGGTGGAAGACTATATGGATGACCTCGTAGTAAAATCCAAAACCAGAGAAAGTCATCAGGGAGTTCTGAGGCGGGTGCTGGAAAGGTGCCGGCTGTATGGGTTAAAAATGAACCCAAAGAAATGCGCATTCGGAGTCTCATCTGGCAAGTTCCTGGGCTTTCAGGTACACCAACGTGGTATAGATGTGGATTCTGAGAAAACCAAAGCCATATGCTCTCTTGCACCACCTAAGAATCCAAAGGAGTTGAAAAGTTTTATGGGAAGATTGTCATACATTCGGCGTTTTATTCCAGGCATTGCTGCAATGATGAGTGTTTTCACTCCTCTCCTTAAAAAAGGGAAGCCATATATATGGAGCCAGGGATGCCAAGAAGCTTACCAGCGAGTACAACAATTGATCACAAAGCTGCCCACGATGAGGGCACCTATTCCAGGACTTCCACTCAAGCTTTACTTGGCTGCGACAAATGCTGCGGTTGGAGCTTTGCTTGCGCAGGATGGCCATAACGGGGAGGAAAGCCCCGTTTATTATGTAAGCCGACAACTGAGAGGAGCTGAAGCAAGGTACCCAAAAATGGAACTCTTATGCCTTGCTCTTGTCTATGCTGCACAGCGCTTGCGACACTACTTCCTTGCCTACAAGTTACAACTCATAGTAAAGTCCGATCCCGTAAGATATCTGCTCACAAAGCCGGTATTATCCGGACGTCTCGCACGTTGGTTATTGCAGCTTTCCGAATTTGATATCATATGCACAACTCCTAAGGCCATCAAAGGACAAGCTGTGATTGACATGCTAGCTCTATTTCCCGAAGTAGAAGGATCAACCCTTTCCAAGGAAGTCCTGGGAGAGTTGCCGGAAATGGTTGCTACTGTTACAGAGGAGGAACCATGGACCCTCTACTTTGATGGGTCTTCCACATCAAAAGGTGGAGGGGCAGGTGTTGTGCTCATTAATCCCTATGGGCAAGCTACGGCCCTCTCATTCAAGCTAGACTTTCCATGCACGAATAACGTGGCAGAATACGAAGCTTTTATTGTGGGATTGTCCACAGCAAGAGAAATGGGCGCAGAAAAGGTGAAGATCATTGGCGATTCGAACCTGGTACTAAGTCAATTGCAATGAAGCTTTGCGGTGAAGGAAGCAACCTTGGCACCATATCGGACAGCTGCTGAAAGGCTCATTAATTCCTTCAAGCAAATCGTGATGGAACACATTCCAGGAACCACAAATAGGTACGCTGATGCTCTGGCCACGTTGGGATCGAAGCTCTCATTTGTGCAAGAACAGCCCAACATCACCGTGATAAGGAGAAGCACACCAGTGGTCGAAGCAATGGCCCAGGGGGACCTGCTGGAAGAGGATGATTGGAGAAAGCCACTGAAGAAAAAATTAGGTGAAGAGAGCAGCATTAAAGACTTGAAAGACTATGTGACTATCTTTGGGGAACTCTACAGACGTCTTCCGGGAGGTGTTCTGACCCGGTGTGTTGGGATGGCAGAAGCAAGAAGGAGGTTGCAAGAGGTACACGATGCCACTTGCGGCTTGGAACCAGTAATCAGCCTGTACCGGCGCTTGCAACGCAAAGGTTATTATTGGCCAGAGATGAAGAAGCAAGCAGCTGAACTACAATTCGATTGTCCCACCTGTTCTACGATACCCTCTATAGAGGAGTCATTCACTGTTTCATTTGCAGAAGATTGGCGGGGTCCATACTTGGCATTCTTTGTTGGAGGAACTCTGCTGACTAACCCCAAGCTTGCCTATAAGCTCAAAAGGACCATGAAGAGGTATTTTGTTGATGGGTCAACTCTCTATCGGAAGGGGTTTAATGGTGAGCCATTAAAATGCTTGGGAGAATCAGAGGCACGTCAAGCCATGCAAGAGATACATGCTGGGGAGTGCGGAGAGCACCAAGGAATGAAGAAGCTTTACCAGCAGCTACTAAGCATTGGGTATTATTGGCCTAACATGAAGAAGGATGCACATGACTTTGTTAAGAAATGCCACACATGCCAAATCTATGCTAATCTAAGCCACAAACCTCCTACATTGCTGCAAGACATGCGCACTCCCTGGCCTTTCCATACTTGGGGGCTTGATTTAATTGGGACAATCCATCCCCCTTCCGATGGCTACATATGGATCCTCACCGCTACGGAGTATTTCACGAAATGGGTTGAGGCAATTCCCCTTCGAAAGGCCACAGGAGCTGCTGTCTCGAATTTCATTCGGGAATACATTGTGTGTAGGTTCGGAATCCCATACAAGATGGTCACCGACAATGGCACACCTTTTGTCAACAAGCAAGTGAGTTCAACCCTTAGTGGGTACGGTATCAAGCATCGTCGCTCTACGCCTTATTACCCCCAGGGAAACGGTCAAGCAGAAGCTACCAATAAGACGATATTGAGGATTCTAAGCAAGATGGTATATGAGTATCAAGAAGGCTAGAGTGTTCACCTGCCGGATGCTTTGTGGGCTTATCGCACCTCACCAAGGAGCGCTACAGGTTTTTCACCTTACTCATTTGTGTATGGATCTGAGGCTATTTCACCTGTGGAAATCACCATCCCGACAGCCAGGATAGCAGCTGTCAATGATCTTGAATGGGATGCAAAGACATGCTCAGATTGGCGTTTGCTAGATCTCGAAGCAGTTGATGAGAAAAGGATGGAAGCTGAAAGAAGGATGACACTTTACAACAAGACTGTTGCCCAAGCCTATAACAGGACCGTTAAGCCTCAAGCCTTCAAGCAAGGAGATCTCGTGCTAAAAGTCGTTGAACATGTGAGAAGGCAAATGTCAAGACCTTCCAAATTTGCCCCACAATGGGAGGGTCCATTCGCAGTCAAGGAGGTACACAGCAGCGGTTATTATCGCTTGATCTCTGTCAAGGAAGGCATGCTAATGGATCCCATCAATGGAAAATGGCTCAAGCCCTACTACTGCTAAGTAGGCATAATATCTTATTTTCGTATTATTGCATTTCCTTTTATCTAAAAAATGTTGTCTCCTTTTATATGCTCTTTGTTTTGAAAAGCTTTTGTATCATCATGGTAGCATGAGGTTTGAAATGAAAATGAAGGAGTATTTTGAAAAAAAAATTTCTCTGGAAGTTTGCCCTTCTTCGTACCTCGAATTTCTTTTTGAACATGCGTTTACAATTACATATAAATATACAGCGGATATCTAAAAAAAAAAGAGCGGAGAAAAATATTACTTAGCAAAAGACATGCCAAGCAAAGCCATTTGCATGGGATCCTAAGTTTGTAGCAGCTTTCACGCTTTGGCAAAAGGAAAAGGAGCAAGCCAAGCTAAGCACCCGCAAAAGGAAGCTAGCATGCTCATAAGGTCCGAGAACCTTCAAAGAAAATAGGCAGTGTCAAGGGGCCATCCTAACAAAATTTTGGCAACAACCACCATGCTTCAAAAGGATACCCAATCTAAAATTCAAGCAAAGGATTCTACCAACCAGGCATTTTATACATGCTAAATAAAAGCTACAATGTGTTTCTGGCAAAAGAAAAAAAAAAGGGGAACATAGGTTCCGACAGCTGGAACACAATAGCACTAAAATGCCAAGCTGCCACAGTACAAGTTTTACAACATAAGTCAAAGTCAGGCTATACATGCTAAGAAGTAATGTGTGCTTCAATCCCGAACGAAACTCTAGAATGTGTCAAGCTAGTCAATCCTACACCAAGCAAAATGCGACCTGCAAAACATAACAAAAAAAAATGTCAGGAGAAATCAGAGTAACATTGAACATATGTAGAATGAGGGAACATGAGGGAAGGACGAAGAGTCACGAACCTCAAAGTACCATCAAGGATGACTAGAAAGGAACGGAGGAGGCCCCGTGAGAAGCTCTTGTCACTGCCTCCATCACGTAGTCAGCACTGTCGGAAGAGACACCTTGGGCAGAAAGGAGGCCATGCAATTCCCTGCGCTGGTTTTCCAGTTCATGCTGCTTGAAGACCAAAGCCTCTGCTACTGCCCTTATTTCATCAGGGCCGGGATTTGACTTCATGTTATGAACAGCCCGTGCCCCAAATGCAGCACGTGCCAAACCCTTCACCAGGTTCAGAAGAGACTCTGCTCGAAAGCCCAGAGTCATAGCCTCGCAAACTGCATCCCGCCAGCAAAGGAGCCTGTGATCAGTAATGTCCAGCAGCTGCACGGTATCCATCCCATGGAGCACCAAGCCAAGAGTCCGAAAAGCAGCGCATCGCGAGAATGAAGAAGTAATACCAGTCATGTCCATGAAATCCCCGTACTTGTCCAGAAATTTCTTCAAAGCCGCGACTGTCTCGGGATAAACAAGAATTCCTCGGAAAAGTGCGTAACCACTAAACCGATGGTAGAGCGGCAGGAGTTCATCTGCAGATCGAAGGACCTGAGCGCTGTTGTCAAAGAAAGCCATGAAGTTAGTAAATGATTCCTCCCACTCCAGCCAAGACATGCTGCGAGGGTGTTCTGCAGCAGCATTCCCGGCGACGGTAATGATAGCCTGGGCGTTTTCAGCAGTGCTCGCTTTGTCACATTGAACCGCTGGAAGAAGTGCTAGGGGACTAGGCCCTGTCGCCCGGAGAAGTGGTTGAACGTGAGATGGAACGGGCAGGGTTGTATGGACGACAAAGGTGTTGCTCCGAAAGGCTGCTAGAAAGGCTGGTGAAATGGCAGGATCAAGGTCTTTCTGGAGAAAATGCTGGAAGATAGGTGGTAAAGGGCTTGTAACTTGTAGCGTAGACATTTCATCCCGAGAATCCGTCGGTGTCATGGTTGGAGAAGATCCTGCGAGGGCTGCCTCAACCAATGTATCGAATGTGTTGAAGGGAGAAGGTACTACGGGCACAATTTCTAAATTTGAAGCAAGACGCTCAGCCTGCAAAAAGAAAGGGGTGGGTGCAAGGGTTAGTACGTAATAATTGACAGGTAATGGGTATTGACAGATGAGTAGGAGAAGAAGGTAAATAGAATATTATCGGTACGGATACCTCAAGGGGGGTCCGGGCAGGATCAGCAATGGCTGAAGCAGGGTTTGGGTCCTCAGCAATGTCAATAACCTGCAGGATGAGCACGCGTCAAGTGTACAGATTATGGTGTAAGGAAGGAGAAGGGGGACAAAACTTAAAACGTGTCAGTTACCTACTCAGCGCTAAAACGGCGTGTACCGCTACCGGCAGACTCGAAGAAAACATCTGAACCACCTTGTCCTCCTGGATAGTCGCTGGAATAAGCAAATGCATCCTCATTGCAACCCACGTTGGAGTCCCTGTCAGAATCTTCACTGGCATCGTCAACGTTCTCTTGCTCTGGAACATTAGCCTCGGATTCGGTGGTGTCACTATCATCACTATCATCGTCAACTGTCACTACAGTTGGGGTTCCGGCAGCTTCAACAGTCCTGGTGCGTGTTCCAGAAAATCTTGCATGTAGAATGCGCACGCTTCGACGTTTAGGGGTCACCTGAGGAGATACCGGGGGTGTGCCACTTCTCTTTCTCTTCGGGGTTGTACCCATTTTCCCTATAAAAAAAATATGTATATAATAAATAAGTATCTACCCACATATCACGCACGCAAAGCAAAAGGAGGGGCATGAAGAAGTACTGGAAGTGGAGAACACTTACGGCGGAGAGGGGTAGTTTCCAGCATCTTGCCAGCACGACCCCGGCTCCCGGATGCAGCAGGCTTCGAAGACTGTGGCTGTTCCGGGGGAGTTGCTTCTTTGGTTCGAGGAGGGCCACTCGGGGCTACCTTCGGAATGAACCTTTGGGTTTACCGGCAGTCTGCTTCTCACTCACATTTCGCTCCTCCTCTCGCTTCCTTTTGCCTGACATTGGCGTTGCACTTTTTCTGGAGCCGCCAGGACTCTGTGCCCCCGGCTTTGGCTTCATCTTAGGAAATTCTCCAACGATGTCACCACTCTTGGAAATGAAGGGCAAGTTGCGTTTCTGGCTAAGAGGGATGGCTTTCTCTTCCGAAACCAAACCCACAAGACGAGCCGTTGTAGGAGGCAGTCTGTCCCCGGGAAAGGATTGGAACTCACGGAAGGAAGAGAGACAGCGGTTCCAGTAGGCTTGGTAGCCTCTAGAGAAGCCACCAACCCTCGCCTTGCTTGCTAGAACGAGGGGCCTGCAACTGGCTGGTATGTGGTCATTGCTCCAGAAGATCCTGTGTAAAGCAAAAGGGTCATCATGGTTAGGACTGCTGGGTACCCCTTGGTCAAGCCCGAACTGCCTCCTGACTCGGTGTGGAGAGTAGGTCACGGAAACCTCTGCACAGTGGTCTCCAAGAGTAGGTAAGAGGATGGGAGCAAAATTCAACAAAGCATGCCTCCGAAACTGGTTACTCTGCGACACGGTTGCTGGAACCTCAACCGTATCACTGGCGTCAGTATAGAAGGGCACGAAAGTGAAGGTCTCTGCTGAGGTGCCGTAAGGGCGAAAGACAAAATTCTCGACATTGTCTAGCAGCTTTAAGAAATTCTGGCCTTTCCTCTGCATTCTCTTGAACCACCTGCAAACTAATGGAAGATTGTTTGGCATAAAGGAACCATTGCCCCAGTCAGCCAACTTTATAGCGTGCGAGTGAGGGAGTGAATACACATCCAACCCTTTGAGACGCTCCCACAAGAACACCTGCAAGAAACCAAAATTTAGGAGGGTCTCCACACCCATGGTTCCTGATGCACTCTTTTCCAGAAGCTGGGTTCGATTAAGAAGATGGTATAGATGTCCCAGGAACATGGGGGCTAAGGGGATCGTATCGCCTCGGGCTATGGCCAAAGCCAAAGGAAATACACGCTCATGAAGGCAATCCTGAGAAAAGTCACAGAGCACGAACCGCCCAAGCCACAGAGCTATAAAGGCAGCCAACCGGCAGGGACTCTGTCTGTTTGCGTCCCCAAAATATTGTATCCAGTTGCTAAACCGGAGTGAAGTGCTGGGAGAGGTGGGAGCGCCTCTTCGCAAGACTGCAAGGCTATCTATTTCTTCTGGAGTGAGGGCGATGCCGAAAGGACTACGGTCGCCACAGACAGGAAGGCGAGAGATATTCGCCACATCTTCAAGGGTAGGGGTAAATTCCCCCTATGAGCACACAAAGGTGTGAGTAGCGGTGCTCCACCTCCGGACCACGTGACGAAGCATCTTCGCTTTGATATGGATGTCCCACAATTTGGAAAGGAAGATGGCATCAAGGACTTGTGCTCTGCGTAGGATGTTGCATGTGGATGGATCCCGCAGTTCACGATCGACCCATTCTGACCAACCTTTACTGATACTGCAAGGATACTGGAAGAATAGGGGAACGGCTGGAAAGAGGCCCTTTTCAATGCAGCATCTGGATATGGAGGCAGGATTAATTACAGGAGCAATCTCAGGGGATGGCTCATCACTAACAACGGGATTTTTACGGGCATCTTTAAGCAACAGGAGCGGCCCTTCTGTTTTAAGATCGTCATCCATGGAGTAGAGGTGGTCTAGCATGATCGGCGGAAGGTTAGTGGACGCCATGGCAGGCCTACTAAGTCACGGACACCTGCAAGAAAGGAAGAAAGAACAAAATGCATAAGTTCCAGCACCTTCACGAATTGTTGAACGCACGCACATCTCTGTAATATCATGCCAAGACCATATCAAAAAAAAAGGGGGGGGGGACCAATTCAATATCATCATGAAAATCTTTCCTATGAGAGGGGATAAGATTATTTGGTGCTAAAAAAAAAGGAGAGGAACGAATCACAGGGATAAAATATGCGAAGGAAGCCATGGAGTGGCTGTTCCCGTTCCTTCCACCATGCGTCGACACCATTTAGAGGTTTTGTGGTTAATCAAGGCAAGATATCGCCTCGAGCACGCTTAAAATCCCAGATCAGTGGTCTATGCCCGAAATTCGAGCCTAATGTTTGGGAAATTAGATGAAACCCAGACCGAGAAAGGTGCCCTGTTCATGAGGAATTTTCAAAAAATATAAATGGTGCCTCCACATGCACATATATGCGTATGTATGTGTGTATGTGCATAGATGCATGTGCCCAGAGTAACAAGAAGTAGAAAACAAAAAATGGGGGAACGATGCTTACCACTGCTATCGATGGAATTCTTCCAGCAGCTTGCCGAAGTCGAAAGAGGAGGGGACTGCCTTGCGATTCCACCGCATAAATTGCTCCACACTTTGCCAAGTGACTCTGCTAAGCTTGGTTTGGACGGATTGAAGAGCGAATTGAAGAAATTTGAGGGATTTTAAAGAAGAATTGTGGCTTTTCCCCGATGGTTGCGAGCGGTTTCCTGAACGTAACCAACCAGCGGTTGTGGATGGGGCCTCACTGAGATTTCTCGTTTCCCAAGGATTCCCTAGACCTATGTATGAGAAGGAACCAGCAAAAACGAAAAGGGGGCAACTAGTTTTAGGGCTCGCGTGCACAGAAGAGGGGAGTCAGAGACGAAGAGAAGAAAAAAGGAAGAGAAGAAAAGGAAAGAAGAATAAAATAAAATAAAACAGGATTGATGGAAGCGTACCTGGAGAATGCAAGAGACCGCTGGAAAATAATCATGGCAGCACACACGTGGGAAACGGGAAGGTCACATCAGCAGCCTGGATTTGACTTTTCTTTTGGGCCAGGTTTGATTATTTGACCCATCTCAAAGCTTCTCATGGCACCAATAATCAAGGGGGCTAATGTTGAGGCCCAAAAATCCAAGGGGCTAAGCCCAAATCAATCCTTAGCCCAATATAAGTAATTGGATGCAAAATAAGCTCAATCGGGATAAAAGAAAATTTATAAGAGCCGCCAACACAAGCTACAAGCCACAAATCATGCTAAACAAGCACGTGCAGAAGGAGCCAAGGACATACCGATATTACTAAATCACGCTCACATGCTCATTTAGTACTACTCGGCCGACTATAGCCTATCATGGCATAATAAAACCCCAAACACGAGCATAGAAATCATGCACATTCTAATACCAAGCTACGTCACGAGCTTAAGTGGGCCCAAGCCACAAAATTAACCGGGGCTTACTGAGAAGGTTGTGGTATGGAAGGAAACAAGCAATCACGGGGCCCATTGAGGGTTCAAGGAACGTAGGTTTCAAAGCCACTTGGGGGCTTTGGAACTCAAGCCCGTTCCTAGAACCCAAGCATATGGGTTAGCATGAGAGAGAGGAGAAAAATTGACCCATGCTCTAGGAAAACACCAAAGAACCTACCAAAATATTTAGCCCAGCCCACATCAATAGAATTAAAGGGAAAACCTTTCCAGCAGCTTGACGAAAGCCTGCCAAACGATAGAAGCAACAAAGCCAGAGGACCCAATACCACATGTACAAGCCCAAGCCCAGCAACTTACAAAAAAATCTGGCGTCAAGTCCTATTCCCGTTTGAATTCCAAACAATGGTCATAAGGGAGCCATGGCAAGACCAGAGGAAATCCATGGGGGTGAGGGAAGTGTCCATCGGACAAAAGGCTCCATCTCTCCCCTTTTCCTCTGTAAGCTCTGCCTTGGAAAAAACATAAGGAAAGCAGGTGGCGCCTTCCCCTCTATGGGAAAGCCCAGCTGCATCAAACCATTGGAACCATAAAGGGTTCCTTACCCATGCTCCTTGGATGGAGAAATTCATCAAAATAGGGCTAAGTAGGAGCTGCCAAGGAAAAAGGAGGAAGAAAACCAGACGAAATTAGAGCTCCTAACACCTATAAAAGGAGACTTTTGTTACCCAGAAATCATATCCACAACTCAACGATCCAGACCTTGACCAAGCTTTGTCAAGCAAATCTGGAATTTTCTCAAGCCACCCAAACCTCTCTTCTGTTCATCTTTCTTCTTCTTAGGATAGGGTTCGCACTAATATTTCTTCTGTAAGAAACCCACGCTGTTTTCTCTCTCTCAAATTGCTAAACTTGTGAAAGCTTAACTCCCATGCCACATGCTCCTCAAGCTAAGCCATTAATGAAATCCTCATGCTTATTTGGGTGTTAGTGAAGTGATCCTGAGAGTGTTCTTTTAAAATCTCATTAGATTTTCTAAAAACCCTCTTGGGAGCTTGTTTTTCGAACTCAGGCATTTGGAGGATTTTGTTCGTTGTCTTCTCACAGTAGCCCAGGCCCATTCGTCAGACTGCTGGAACAAAAAACCCCCTACACTATGTTATAATAGGTTCAATATTCATAGCAAAATAATAAGTACCTACGTTAATTAGATGATATTACGTACTAAAAAAATAAGTATATTAACATTTCATATGCCTACATATATTCATATGACCCATAAGAGAAGATAATAGATAAATTCCTTGATAAAAAAAAGAAAAAAAAGAAAAAAGATAAATTGTTACACGTAAAAGATACTAGGTAAATTATTGTCCATAACAAATAATAGGTATATTATTATTCATAAAAATAATAGGTACATTCCCAAAAAAGTAAATTTACTAAAAATTAAAAACAAAAACAAGGTGCTCGAGATCCGAGCCAAAACTCGGTGCACTCACTAAATTCACTCACTCACACACTGTATGGCCTCCAAAACTCAACCTCATCAGAGTCAGAGGCAAAGCTCTCCAGCCGCCTATCAATGGCCGACTACGAAACCCACCACCACTCATCAATCCCAAAAGAGACAGCTCTGCAAGCCCTAAACACCATCATCCAGCTTCACTTCGAGAAGACCCTCGAGAAGAAGAGGTCCATAGACCTCCAGAAGAAGGAGCTCCACAAGCTCTTCATCCTGTTCTTCATCTTCCTCAGCCTCATCTTCTTTGCCGAGGCCCAGTCCTCGAGGCTCCAATGCCGCCACTGCTGGGTCCCAATCGTCCTCCTCTCCCTGGCCCACCTCATCTTCTACGTGGCAGTTGCTCAGACCCTGCGCTGCATCAATGGGTTCAAGTACCAGAGGCGCTGCCACAAGCTAACACTTGGGCTGGCCACTGAGAAGCTGAGGGAGATGAAGATGAGGCTGAGTAGCGCTAATGGCGGTGGAGGGGACTTTGATGGGGTTTCTGAGAATGAGTTTGAGATTCATTATCAAGAGCCTCCTGAGAGTTACTTTGGTAAGTTCAAGAGGAATTGGGCTTTGCATTTTGGCTTCTTGATTGTCATTTATGGCTTCATGGTGGCTTCCTCTGTTGTTCTCCTCTGTTTTTAGGTTTTTTTTTCCCCTGTGATTAAGGTGAAATGTTAGAGAGGAGAGTTCAGAACTTTTGTCAAATTTGATTAAATTCTAGAATTCTAATTGTTATCCATTGCCACAAGTTTGCCCTCAGAATTTACATTCATCATCTTTCTTTATCTTTTATAGGTTTCTTCTTTTTTGCTGTGATCTTTTTCTACATACCAAGTTAGGATCTGGGTGCTTTTTGTTCTTAAAAAATGTATAAAAAGAAGTGGGATGCTTTCAAACGAAGATGTTCAAAGGAAGATTGATTTTCTTTCTTTGACCAACAAATCAGATTTTCTTTCGAGTAGCTTTATACTGTACAGTTTGGAAGTTATTTCAGTATTGCTACTACAACCAACAACACAGTTAAGTTCATTCTTAGTTTTCTAATAATATTGTTTGAATTTGAATTTTGAAATGGACGAGTACATCACGTGTGAACAGCGATGGAGAAATATTTGTGTGAAATGGGGATGTGAATGTGACTAGCTGGGGTCTGAGATTGTGACCAACTGGGGGCCGAGCGATGGTCCTTGGGGATGGATACAACACTAATGACATGTTTACTTGTTAGGAACAAAGGAAGTTATGAATAGAGGAATTAAGGAATTGGAATTGGATGAACTACTCTCCTAATCTTGATTTTAAGAATATTTAATCATGATTTTAACGTAAAACTCAAATTTTTTTATGGGAAGTCAGGAATTGCAATCATATACCCATTCTTGATTAGTAATCATGATATGAATGTGAAGTCAAAGAATTTCTCTAAAAGTTTACCCTAAAAAAGGAATATCTCTAAAAGAATTGTAATTTTCTTTATAAATTTGTCAATAGATTCAGTACAATCAGTGTGCATAAATTAATCAAATTACTATTCAAGTAGACAAACGCTTTGATCTGGAGACCATGTCCAGTACTAGGTCAAATCAGTATGAGGATTTCCTTTTGAATAGAGAACCGGTATAGAGGGGGCTGTTACTGTTCAAACCAGAACCTTTTGAGCCTCCCGGCTTACGCTGGGGATAGTGCATTGCACAGAGATTTGTAAGCATTAACACAAAGTTTAAATTTCTCTGCAGCCATTGCCTGCAAAGATGCACAAATATCTTATCAGAAGTTATGAATATAATAATGAAAAAGAAATCACAAAACTCTGACCTAATAATAATATGATAAACAAATCATGTTCATGGCAACCAAGTGCAACTAGTGCAAATAGCAGAGAAGCAACAAGAAGTTATACAAATGGCGTGCAGCAAAACAGGTCATTGTGCATAACAGCAAGACCGAGCACCAAGACAAACCAGCATACAACTAAGTCAACACTCAGCAAAGCAAGCCAGATTGGAGCCAGCGATAATGACAAGTCAGCATTAACATCTTGACAGCCAGCTCAGATCCCGTTCATAGGACTGCCTCAGTTAGCTTATGTTAGGAAAAGTTTTTATTAATTTATTTTTATTTTTATACAAGCGACAGTTTAAACTACTCTAAATTACTCTAATCTACCAAAGAGGGGGATCGAACTCGGGCACAAGGGGGGTGGGTACACTGCCATTATTCTCTATAAGCTCCAATGGAGATGTATTTATTTGTTATTTGTAAACTGTTAGGAAACAGCTAGGAGTTTTGAATTTGTTATGCTTAGTTGTAAACTTGTTAAAGTCAAGTCACGCTTCAGTTGACTTGCTCCCATTCTGTATATAGGACCTACCTGACATCGAACATTTGGACATTCATCATCTCTGTGCCAATGTGATTGCTGTTAAGATTTTTCTTCGCAGATTCATCATTTTCTTCAACGCATACTGTTCCAGTTCACAATTATGCACTGTAGCATGAGTATGGTATTTTTATCTGTTTTAAAGTAAAACTTACCAGTGTTATCTGGCTAGCTAAAAAGTGCAAAGTCACTATCAATTCAAATAAACCAAATTAAGGGATGCGTATTTTTGTCTTGATAATTAAATGTTAACAATTTTCAAGGGAGTAATTTGCCTTAAAAACTTATTCCATATTTGTCAAAGCTTTTTACAAACAGCTTTTTGATGCCTCTATCAAGCCGCTTACCCACACAAAAATGGAAAATCACACTGTTGAATAGGCTATGACTAACAACTAAACATGATATTTTGAACTCACTCAACACTCGAGAGAATTAAAGAATTCAAATTAGTCAAAGATCCAAAGATTAAGAACTGACCTGTGAAGGGCCTTCATGCTTGTCAGGATGCCATTTTAAAGCTGATAAATGGAAACTGCCAGAAGGATTCATATGTTTAAATAATACTGCAAAAGAAGACGGTGAAATATAAAATAAAGTACAAGAACTTCGTTCATTTACTCCATTCAAAAATTTGGAGAGAAAAAAGGCCCGCTGAAGAACTTACGCTTTTTTAACATCTTCAGTCTTTAAAGGACCTGTTGGAGGCAGACCAAGAATTGTTCTATCAGAATAAGATCCTATAGTACATGATTCATCATCAGACTCCGCGTCACTACTATTCTCCCATCTTTTACTTTTATCTTTCCAGCTTGATTGCTCTGTCCACTCAAATCCGGATTCTGAATCTTTAAAAGAGGAGTCATGGCACGAGTCAAAAGACCAGGTGTACCATTTCTTGCCAAATGTCGCACGAAAGATAGACTCAGGATTGTTGTCATCATCTTCGAAGAAACTCTCTCTTTTGAACTTGCCTGAACAGGACAGAAAGAGAAGCAGAAGGTTTGTAAGATGCATCTAATGCAGGCAAATCATAACCTTTACCAGCCAGCAGAAAAACACATGGGGGTTTTAACTTTCTACATAGAATCTCTGACTTTTGCAATGAAATAAGTAGATACGTAAGTTCTGAAAAATCTTACATGAGAGCAGAGTCAAAGATTCTTCTGACAGATATTAGCAACTTCATAAAGTTCTAAGGGTTCGTCAAGAAACATTTACATTTGGGATTGCAGTTATTCATATTGTGCATCCAAAAATCAGAAATGCATCTGATACCTAACCAGGTACATGACACATGAGACACACCTCGGATTTTAAACTATTTGGTTTATGGATAAGATCTATAACTTTAGTTTACAACATAGGAAGGTTTTATGGTAATGATTATTCAGCATAGTTTCTTACAAATAAAGTGATGGATTCAGCCACAAGTTAACACAACATTTTAAAATTAATTACACTTGTATAATATGCTTGCTTTAAAAATGAAATAAAAAGCACACCTTTTTTTCTGTATAGTTGGGAAGCACATCAGAAATGGGAGTACTTTCCAAAGTATTTAAGTGTATAATCACAAATTTTCTAAGTAGGAATAACTCTAATCAAGTGCAATAACCACACAAGGGTTTCTTACAACCGCCCATGCAATTAATTCTACACTGAACTGATGAAAAGATCATCCAGCTTTTAAAGCGTTAAAGAAAATATGAGCGCTAATCCTTTATTTTATTTTATTTTAATGAGAACACAGACTTCGTCAATAAAATTCATTAAAGTCACAGCATGGTGGTGACCAGTCTTGCACAAGATATCCACCATCCAGACAACATTTAAAGCAAGCTTTTTATCATGAAGAAATCTACTGTTGGCATGAGAAAAAGTGGATCAGCAAATCATATAGCTCAGATGCAGGCCAAACATCAAAAAATAAAGTGCAGATTATTAGACAAAATTGTAAAAGTAAGCAAACTATTAAGTACAGCAAACGTAGGGCATCGAAAACAAATATACATAGAAGGATAGGTTCAGAAAGGACAAATAAGAAGACCTCACGTTTTGTTTTCTTGTGGTGTGACTTCACAGCATGTCGAGAAGATCTCGACCTATGTTTCTGAGGAGAGCTTCCTGAATCATTTTCATTCTGACAGTGAAAACAAACTACGCATCACTACAGTAAAAACTAAGTGCACTTTTTTTTTATCAAAAGCAGACACAATTATATTTATAAATAAAAAACAATCAGCAAAACACCATATTATGTGCTTCTGCCTCTGAGACATGACAGGGGAACTCTAATACCAGGAACTAGATAACTGAATTTCTAAAGTGCAAGGGGGAATTGATAGAATTGAGACGTCTCCATCGTGTCTTACATATCAATAATATATAAATTTATCGATTAAGGATCCACAAGGCCATTAGAAAAATTAGGAGCTATACATGAATTCATGAATTCATGATATGTTTTAGTTTTTTTCGTCACTACTTTTGAGATAAATTTTCAAATGGCTCCATTTAAATCATGTTTAACTATATCCAAATCCAAGTTGAATGGAAGGTGGGCATTCAATCAGAATTTAATGCCACAAGTATCCTCAGAGAAATATAAAAGAAACGAAACACATACACAAATTAAAAAATTTATTTTAATGCAACAAAAAAGAGGGCATCAATGTAGAGATGCACACCCTCGTTTCAAAATAATGAGTACAACAATGGAATTTTGCCAAGTTGTTTCATATATAGAGACTTCAACGAGACTATATACAAAAACAAGAGGACCAGTCTACCTGAATGTTCTGAAAGAAATTTTTAGAGGACCCACTGTTGAAGAGGAGGGTTTTCAGGGCTTTCTTTGTATCAGCACGCTTCTGACGTGTTGCATATCTGATGTAATTCTGAAATGCACATTTCAAATGTTAAGCTTCAATTTAGAAAATTCATAATTATGAAAGAGACAGAGAGGCAGGGAGGGAAAACTGATACTAAGCAGTGAAACAACGGACTCCTAATGGGGTATAAGAGTTGGTACAATCATAAAAGAGGGTACTCCCTTGCTTTATAAGAGCATACAATAAATGGAAAGAGGGATAAAACTATTGCAAGAAATAAGAGAATATAAAAGCCACATCTAAATTTATTTATCTTTCCCTCTGGACAGCCTGTTTGACTTGGAATTCAGATTACACTCTAGAACATGTGAATGAAAAGGCTTGATAGCTAATAGACATTTAGCAGGTTAAAGACCAACCAGGGATTTAAAAAACATTTAAAAGAAAATATGAATAAAAAAAGACTGCAGTGTCTAGATATTGGCACGGGGTGAAAAGGATAACACAAGATAAGAATGCATCTGCTTATTGAAAAGCAAACATGTTGCCGAACAGGGCTGAAATGCAATTTGAAGCAGGGAAGATGAATGTAAATAATAGCTTTTCAAGCTACAATGAACTTGGCAATAAAAAGCAATAGAACTGAAGAATATATAGTTTGGAAACATCAGATGACAGCAAAGTAGGCCATCAAATATTACAGCAGCACCAAAATTTATTAATATTACATATTACGATACTCACTCCGGCTAGCATCCAATTTGCATTTGTTTTAAGACTGGAAATGGCCCAGAAAGGGAGAGTACAACCAGGAGTGGGAGCACCAGAGCATCCAAGATCTCTCTCTCTCTCTCTCTCTCTCTCTCAAGACTTTTTCATTTGCTTGGAGCTAAACTTTCCATTTGAGGCGGAAACTTGTTGCAAAACCGGCAGTTTTCTTAAACTCCTAAGTATGCTACGCAATAATTAACAACAAATCTTATGTCCCATAATGGTTTGTGGAGCATCTTTTTTCAAACTTTTCACCGAACAAAATCCCTCCTTCCATGTGTATACGAATTTTAAACATGCATGTCTGTTCTGTCTCTGCATACTCGAGAAGCGCCTACAATCTGTGTATTGGTAACAACTAATTTGCCTATCTTGGCTTTCTACTAAATCACGGATTGAGAGCATTTACGTTCACTTAGTCTCCTGAATTAGACGACATAGGTAGACTGAAGACCAATACATTCTCCCTTCAAAATTAATCATTAAGCATAAAAATAGTATTATAAATTAGAAGAATATTTGTGGAATATGGATGGGTTTTTTTTTCCAACTAATCCTAACATAACTGTTTTTTCTTTATAGAAAAATTGTGTTTGTGAATTGACAATTTTTCTATAGGGGAGATAAAATGATGGGAACTAGCCTTTCTTGTGCCAAAGGCGAGAGTAGAAGTTTGCATCTTTCAAGACTATTAAACTCTTAGGACTTTTTCCCAAACAAACAACCATTCAAATTTCACTCACGAGAATTAACAATTCCCACGTATGATTATCATGTGGAAAGCACACCATAAAGGGGGAAAAAGATTAAAGCCCTGTGTGCAGTGTCAGTTTTTGCTGCCTTTGCTTGCTATCATTGGCATGTATTTTCTATATAAGAATTCCGAAATTAGCACAGAATTAATACCTTTGATGGTTGTTGACTGCTTTTTACATCCTGCAAAAACATTTGAATCATCAAACATTCTTATAGAAAGCAAAATCGTGTTAGTTCAAATTTTATCTAATTGACGAGTATTCTAAAAAACTTTATAATTAAAAAAAAACTAAATATGCATCACAAACATTAAGATACAGATGAATCAATTTGCACAATCAAATTACACCAAGATGCCTTAAACGTCTCTCGGTAGAAAATGCAAAGGTAGGAGAAACCTTAAAATTTGACCTACACCTGACACTGACCGGATCACTTGGAAACCTTAGAAGACGAACAAATCACCACTTATATCATAAGCATACCACTAAAAGACGAATTAAGCATACAATTTTAACAAATCTTTGACATGGAGAGTCTAATAAAAATGAAATCATCAAAGAGAAAAGCAACTCACAAAGGTCCATTTGTTCTTCCACTTCTCGCATGAAGTTGGAGTAGAATGGAACCAAGTGAAGCGGGTTGCTGTAGGAGTTGATGAAATCAATGAAATCTTGAGTAGAAACAAGTTTCTCCATCTGGGTATTTGCATTTATGGAAAGGAAAATCTGAAAAAAGTTGTATCAAGGTTCACTGGCGAATCCACGTAGGGCCAAGGAGGTCAAGTGACACCCTGCAAACAATAAACCACGGCCTGGGGAAAAGAATTGTGAGCCCTGAAAAGAGACAGAGGGAGAGACTGAGGCAGAGAGGAAGAAGACGGAAAAAAAAAAATGGGGAGGATCTGGCAAACATATTGCGATATATCAGGAAAATATCGTGTGATATAGAACTGTAAGAGCATGTCCACCACAGCCCAATTTGCCAGGGCAAGAGGCCCCCCCAGGTCGAAATGGACCTCTAGAGAAGGAGAAGCAGCCTGGGCAAACCCTGGGTCCCACCAGCCCGGGCAAGCCCGAGGGCAGTTCTTGTCTGGGCTTCTGCCTGAAGGTGCTGACGTCAGCAAGTGTAATTCGAAATTTTTTTGGGAAATGGGGAAAAAAAAAAAAAAAAAAAAAAAAAAAAAAAAAAAAAAAAAAAAAAAAAAAAAAAAAAAAAAAAAAAAAAAAAAAAAAAAAAAAAAAAAAAAAAAAAAAAAAAAAAAAAAAAAAAAAAAAAAAAAAAAAAAAAAAAAAAAAAAAAAAAAAAAAAAAAAAAAAAAAAAAAAAAAAAAAAAAAAAAAAAAAAAAAAAAAAAAAAAAAAAAAAAAAAAAAAAAAAAAAAAAAAAAAAAAAAAAAAAAAAAAAAAAAAAAAAAAAAAAAAAAAAAAAAAAAAAAAAAAAAAAAAAAAAAAAAAAAAAAAAAAAAAAAAAAAAAAAAAAAAAAAAAAAAAAAAAAAAAAAAAAAAAAAAAAAAAAAAAAAAAAAAAAAAAAAAAAAAAAAAAAAAAATGGATTGGTGGTGTCTGGGCTTCGTTTTAGAGAGTGAATGTCACTCTAAATTCCCAAATGACTCCTCCCACCATATTATGATTTTTGCCCAGTTTTGGGCTCAACTGTATTCGATTGGTCAGAAATTGAGAAGCAATTCAGGTTCGCCGAAGTGTGTAAAATGAAGTGGTGGGTGTATTTGCATAGGTTTTTAGCTTGTGGATTTCACTCAAAATCACACTAAGTGAGCGCCCACCTATATTATGATCTTCCCAAGTTTTGGGCCAATCCGATATTGATTGGTCCTTGAAATTCAACAATTCCGGTTCGGACAAAGTTCCATTCTGAATGGAGTGGTTAGCGTATTGTAAGTTTCCTAGGATATTGGATTTCGGCACAAAACTTCAACCAAAGGACTCCTTATACCATATTATGATGTTCACCCCAGTTTTGGGCACAAGCCACTACGATTGGTCCAGGATTTAGACTATTCCTGTTCGTACTAGTTTTCGTTCTCTAATGGAGTGGTTGGTGTATTGTATAGTTCTAGACACTGGATTTTACTATAAACTCCTAAAATGACTCCTCCCCACCATATTATTATTGTTCCAAAAGTTTTGGCCCCCCATATGTATCCGATTGGTCCTTAAATTGTGGACATTCATGTTCGTTACAAAGTTTCATTCTGAATTGGAGTGGTTGGTGTATTGGATAGTTTCTAGAGATTGGATTCACTCAAAAACTCAACCAAATGACTCATCCCACCATATTTTTTGTTGTTTCCCCAGTTTTGGGGCTCATCCATATCAATTTGTCCTTGAAATTGGACAATTCAATTAGTACAAAGTTCATTCTAAAATCGAGTGGTTGGTGTATTGCATAGTTCAAGAGATGGATTTCCTCAAAAACCTACCAAATGACTTCTCCCACCATATTATGGTGTTCCCCATGTTTTTGGCTCAATCTGATATTGGTTTGTTCAGAGATTTGATCTAAACTTCCACTTTGGTTTCCTAGAGGGCCAGTCACTACCTATTGAAAGCAAAGAACACATAAGTTTTGCAGCAATCTCATTATTATCTTTACCTCAGAGACACGGCTTTAATTAGAGGCCTCTCTTCCTTTATTGGGCTCCATTGTTGAGAGTTAGCACTCAGGATTCAAAGAGTTAAAGCCTCATCTGTTGTTTTGTTCATCAGTCCTTCTCCACGTGTTGCCTCACCATCATCCTTCGGAATCAAGCACCTTCTTCATGAAAGATTGCTTTGCATCACACTCTTTATTTGTGTGTGTGGGCACGAACTTATCATCTCCTTGTACCCTCTCCTCGCCATTCCATGAAAAGCTTCTTCTCCTTTCCTTTTGTGTGAACACACTGATTTCCTTTTATAATCGTGTGTTAGTCTTTTGAGCCGGAAAGATCTGCAAAAACTTATTAGAACGCTCACCCACGGAGGAATTGAATACATTAGGCAAAGAGTATAACAGACTTTACTTAATCTTTTGACTGATGAAAGAGCCTTCATCTTAATCTCTCATCTCAAGGCCTTGAATTTTGCTCGTACCACATCTTTCCAAATACTTGCTTATATAGCATGTAAGGACCTCGCGTCGGTATTACCATAATAAGTTTGGAAGAAGATGACTCATTACCACTTTTTAAGCTCAAACCTGTCAACTGTGAGTTGAGGATAGACGATGCCCGACGGGTTGATCGGTGACTTTGGGAATGGAAAACTCATGCAGGGGTTTTCGAGGTTGGACAACAAGCGCAACCACCTCCTTCAACATTATGTTGTCATTTGGAATCTCTGCCATCTTGCTTGAACCTTCAGATTTGTAACTCTTAGAATCAATGCTTGAAGAACTATAATTCCTCCTCAAACTAGCACGTCATCAGCAGTTCTTGGTGAAAGTGGCTCAGGTGAACTTTGCTCCTGGTCAGATTCGGACATGCACTCACCAAAGGAACAATTCAGTGCTTTCATGGAGATAACAACTAAAACAAAAACTGAATACAAAAGAAAAACCAATGAAAGAAACAAATGAAACAACAAAAACAAAACAATCAAAGTAATCAACTATAGCACCATCGTTACCGGTTTCCCCCGGCAACGGCGCCAAAAATTTCTTGAGACTATTCCTTAACAACTAAATAAGTTATTAAAAACAGCAACTTTAATTTCTCGCAAGTGCACGAAACCGTTTATAGTATAGCTTATGTAAATACGAGGGTCGATCCTACGGAGAATGGTAACTTGGTTCCAAGTTAAATTACTTAGAATGCTCGAAAACCATAGAACAAAGAAACTGACTACCAAGCTAAAGGCAAGGTCGAATTCAACAATTCCTCTTGCTAATTACTCAAGCTCTAGGATAGAGTCTTAGCACCACCACACGCACTCGAATGGGGGTTTTGTTGTTGAAATGAAAAGAAGAAAGTGAAATGAAAGCGCTTGAAAGTAAACACTGGCTGCAATTAACAAATTGTGAAACAATAATTGAGAGGTGTAAGAGCCTTGGAATCCACCACTAGTTTTCCTATCCAAGTTGAATGCATAGAAATTGACTCAAGCTTTAATCAACAACAAGATTATCGCATACAGCCTATGGGTATCTAGGTGCAAGATGCATGATTCTCCTAAGGCATGTAATTGTGTATGGTATCTACACAACATTGATCTTAATATGCAACCTAAGCCTGGTATCTACTTAGAATAAAGCATACAAGAGTCATTAAGCTCCATGAGAATATGATAATCACACAAGTCCTAGAACATGGTATCTGTCCTAGTCAACCTATGGTTATTAAACCCCTTGAATGATCTTAGGCCATTCATGTGTTGCTTGTGAAAAGAGAGTAGAATTGGTGAATCTAAACCCCTTCCCACCCTGTGCTAGATGCATAAAAATCCTAGTTAGCTACTCCAAGAAAACATACATCAAGCACATAATAAACTGGAGATTAACAACTTGATAATGAAAGCAAGGAAATCAATTAACTATAAAATCATCCATAACATTGAATATTCATGACTAGGGCTTCATCCTAAGCCCTAACTAAATGGATTAGTTGACATAACTATGAATAAAGAAAATAAGAATACATAGATAGAATAAAGAGAAGAGAAAGACTAGCTGGCAGCAATGTAGTTCCCAGGAACGCTCCAAGCTCTCTTCTCTCTTTGGGGTGAATCTGAATGTGTGTATGAGAGTAATGGATGAAGTGAAAATGTGTATCTGACTCCCTTGAATAGTGTACAGCTCTCTATTTATAGAGTGCAATTTCATCCTCCCTTTGGCTGGTGAAGCACACCTCTCTTAGCAGCTCCCAACTGCTCTAGCTGCCAATACATGCTTGGTATGGTTCGTTTACGGAAAGCTTGGCTATTTGTTCATCTTTCTGAGTTCCTAAGCTGATTTGACTCCCATGTGTGCGTGCCCATGTGTAGCACATGGCTCTAGGGATGTAGCCACATTAAATGTGATGGCAGCCAACATGACATTTCTGTGAACTTAGTTCAGTCTTTGACTTGCTGATGGCTCCAGATTTATCCAATTGGGCTGAAATTTTAATATGTTATAACAGACACCCATTGGAACAACTTCTATCAGGGATGTCTCCTCATCCAACTTGTGTAAGTTGCTGAAT